AAAAAAATAGAAGGGGAAGTAGTTATTCAGCAGATAAAAGATGGAAAACACCTTAAAGTGAAATTGTGGACATTCTCTTCTGACTGCTCCTAATCCTTCAGTGAAATTACAAAGATCACCAGCTGGTGATTATTTTCAGTATTATTCCTTTTTGATAGTTAAGAAAACTGAAGCCCAAAGGGCTTACAGTCAGAACTCAAACCTGTGTCCCTACCCTCTCTAAGTCACATTTCTTATTTCCAATTTGGATTTAATAATTCAAACTCTCAAGGATTTGGGGAAACCAAATGAGATAACACACACACAGTATGCAGCACAATATCTAGCAGCAACAAACAGAAGTCCACTTCCCTTCACCCATAGCAAAGCTGAAACTAAAATGAGTATTTCTAATACTCAGCTAATATCCAATACACACTACACAAATGCAAAGAGTGACACTAAGACATCTGAGACAGATTAGGACATGGTAAAGCTGGCTGGGTAACTAGGTGTGACCTATTAATTATAAAACCCCAGGATACATGTAGAGAGCAGTTCCCAAATCCGTGGACTTCTCCTGAGAACTCAAGCAAGCTTTCCATAGAATGGCCTAGACCTGACATCAGCCTGAGGACTGGATGATGCAAAAAGGACAGTCCACATTGAATTTCTGCTATTGCATTCACTCTTCCATGGTGGCCTGCCCTCATGCTGTAGGATGTACTTCCTTCCCTACTTTTACTTGGCCCAAACTTGCTCTACAGAACCTGTTTCTTTTCCTATCTTTAATAAATACTTTGCGGGCCAGGGATTTAGCTCAGTGGTTCCGGCGCCTGCCTCACAAGCGCAAGGTCCCGAGTTCCATCCCCGGTACCAAAATAAATAAATAAGTAAAATACAACTTTGCTACCATTTGTGCTTGTCTTGACCAATTCTTTGCTCAGGACAGAAAGAACCTAGAAACCTCCTTCAGAAGGAGATTCTAGTAGCCCCAAACTTGGTAACAATATGAATATAAGCAGCCAAACTAATTAAGACTTGTTTTCTACTTCATCCAGAAATATGTAAGGTGAGATGTTATTTTATTTAATAAGCCATTACCTGAAACAAAGGTAGTTTTTACTAGGCTTTAGGCAAAATAGGAAGATCTGCTTCTTAGTGTTCCATCAGCTAAACTACATGTACTACAAACGTACTAATAAAGTAAAAATGTTAAAAAAAAGAAAAATATTAGTATAAAGTTGGTGACCTTTTTAAATTAAAAATCTTATAAAAATATTTTTAATCCCTCAAGCCAAAGTAGAATTAAATTCATTTTTCCCATTTTCATTCAATTCAAGTCCATGCTTGAAAGTGATATTTGGTGCAAGGGAAATTTTACTCACTATAGATATAGATACTCTAGAAATGACAGAAGAATTACACTTTCTACTCTTTATAAGATCACTTTTTACAAAAGATAAAAAATAAGCATTGGTTCACTTGGAAACATCTCTAGATGCATCAAAGATAGTCATGAAATACATCCTAATGACTACTGATCCTATTCTACCTGTCTAAATACTCAATTTACCAATAAGAAAATACTAAAGGACTACAAAATTAAGAGCCATAGTTTCAAACAAGAATTTTATTCACCCCCCCCAGCTAAACTATTCATTAAATCTGATTGTAGAACAAAGGCAGTTTTAAGGTCCAAAGGCTCAAAACTGTCTCTTATTCACCTCAGAAGAGCTGAAAACACCACATATTGTTTGTATGAAAAGATATGCACCACCAATAGCAAGGTGGAAAATCAAGAAAGAGGAAGACCTAAGATCCACAAAGTGAAATTTAGTACAGGAAAGAAGAAAAAGAAATTCTCAAGATGATGGCAAAAAGAAGTGTCAGGATAACAAAAAAATAGTTCAGAAAGAGATATAAGCTAAACCCCAGAAGCTAGTCTCCAGGAGAAAAAAATCATCTAAGAGTTTTGACAGGCATTTACAGAGTTACTTTATGATATAAAGATCTGATCAAACTGTCTAGAAAATGAAGCAAATGAAATAAATAAGTAAATAAGGATTACTGATGCTACAACAAAATCAAAAAAGCTCATGAAAGGAAATATTATTTGCTAGGAGCAAAGAATTTACAATATCATTATAATGAAAACACTAAAAATGAAATTACCATAATAGTCAAAAAGATCTAAAACCAAATTAAGATATAATAGTTTATATATGATGATTATAGAGAAGTAGAAATAAATATCAGAAGAAACATCCAAAAGGGTCAAAATTATTTGTCCGTCACGTTTGACAGGCAGCAGACAAGAAAAAGGAGATATTTTTTTACTACCAATTTTAAAATGTGACCTTTTAAATACTATATGCATGATTTTCTTATAAATGTAAACACTGGTCAAAAACAAAGGCTTTCTAATTATTTGGATCATTATGGATAAAAGAAATTGCCAATATTTGAATTTAAGCTCTCAATTACAGATAGCTTTTTAAAATTAAAATGTTTAATCAGACCAGCAAAGCAGAATTTACTTTCAAATAATATCTCATTTTACAAACTATCTGCTATGACTCCACTCATAACTAACCCCAGCATGTATAACATTAAGTATGTGAATGACTAGAACATAAACTCCAAAATATAAGTAATGTTCATCTTTGGCTGGTGAGATTATAATTTTTATTTTCTCCTTTGTGCTTTTCTATATTTTCCTCAATGGATATTTCATTGTAAAAAAGAAAAGAGTGGGATGGGGCCGGGGATTTAGCTCAGTGGTTCCACCGCCCGCCTCGCAAGTGCAAGATCTCGAGTTCGATCTCTGGTACCAAAAAATAATAATAATAAAAAGAAAAGTGTGGGTTTTCAAATTACTCATTAACTAACTCCAAAAAACTGCTTCATTCTCCAAGATAAGAAAATTAAGTTCTAAATCTACTACTTTTTCAAGTATTTTCTTTATACTTCCATTTTTTTTAATTCATTAATTCTACTGGTACATTTTAGGTATACAATATGACATTCATCATTGGGAATTTGCACCTTTACATGATGTATCGTGGTTCTTATTTTTTCCCCCTTCCCCTCCCCCGCTTCACGTCCTCCACTCCTCCCTATTTACAAAGACTTTGTTTCCATTTTTTTCCTTTTCTCCTATTTATTCCTTTCCCTTTTTCCTTTCCCCTACCCCTCTCACTTCCCCTTCCCCTTTGGACCTTTTCTTCCTATTTCACATTATTATACATTTTGATCTTCATTTACACTTTCAGTTTCTCACACCAGAGAAACTATTCATTATTTACATATGTGTGTCCTATTTATTTCACCTAAGAGTATGGCCTCAATGTGCATCCATTTAGCTATAAATGTCTCTAACTTCTCATTCTTTATGGCCAAGCAGTACTTCATTTTTTTAAAAAAAAACCACATCTTCTTTATCCAGTCTCCAGTTGATGGGCAATTGGGCTGTTTCCAAGTTTTGGCTCTTACAAACTGTGCCGCTATGAATATAACCTAACAAAAGATGGGTTTTAATGTTCATCTATGACAACCCTACCACCTTCAAATGTCAAATTACCCATGCTAAGTGGACCAAGATTTGATGGGGCTTTATTCCACTGTTTCCAAGGCAAGCACTGTATGATAAACTGAAACTATCATGTTTCCTATGCAACACACGCACAAACACACAAACACAGGGCTCTCTATACATTATACAAGAAAAGAAAACAACCTATCTCCATTTGAGTAAAAACACTTACAGCAAAAATGCTATTCAATTTTCACTCATGAGCCAAAAAATAAAAAAGATTTGAATCTGAAGTGAACTAGTAAGATTATAATCTGAAGTAAACTAGTTATTAGTGAATTTATCCTTCAATAAATACATTTTCATTTATAGTGATTACATTTAAGATTTTCTTATTAAATACAACTGGATTTTACTTAAATAATTACTTCTGCCTCAATTTGTCTTCTAAAATAAAAACAGAATTTAGGGCTGGGGATTTAGCTGAGTGGCACTGCTGCCTGTCTCCTAAGCACAAGGTCCTGAGTTTGATCCCCGGTACAAAAAAAAAAAATTTAGCAGCAAAATCTGTAACAGGCCACACTATTTTTCTCTCTCCTTTTCAAAAAGCCATTTCAAAAATCATTCAAATGTCTCTGATTATGATTATTAAAGAATTAAATAGCATTTTTTCACTTTTTCACGCCTAGGCTCAACAAGAAAGAAAAAGTTAGTGAATCACGTGGTTAGAAATTAATTTATAGACAATAATAATTTAAACAACCTAGGCCATGACATATTAGTTTGTAAAATGGCAAAACTAAATATTAATTCATATTACAATGAAAGCAAATGGTATAGTAAATAACCACTTAATGACTCTTGTTTTCTGAAGAAAAGGATTTTTATTCCCCCAAACCCTGTATTTAAATATATCTAGAGTGGCTACATATACTCAGTGACATTTCTGAATCAATCTAAAATTTTATTTGAGACTTGTAGTAGCAAAAAGTTGTAAATGCCAATCAATTACTTTTAGTTATAGAAATAATTTCAATATTTCACACTTCTCTAACATGTAGCTTCCAAGAAATTACATGCATAGTCACAGTCAAATTTTATTTCCAGAAAGAACTGTCACTGCATGACTATTCTGCCATGTAAAATATGTTGCAATTTTAATTAAATTAGACTTACATTAATCATGTTTATATTTTTAGTATACTAATGTTTAGAGATTCTTATCAAAATCTACTCAAATTGTAACAACATTTTTACATATAAACTTAAAAAAGGATGTCTTTTTTTCAGTTTTTAATGTTAAAGAAATGGTCAAATTCTTTTACATTTTGCTTAATTTAAATGATTTCTTTAAAAGATATAACCTGTAAATGCCAATGCACAGTTAAAGATTTTGGTATTTCCAAAGTTACTAAAATCTTTACAGACACCTTTTCTTAAGAATAACAAAGTATGACACAGATACATAATAAGCCTTTAAAAATACCTGAGAGGTCTTGCCTGGGGATTGCCTGCTTCTACATATGGATGTAAATAATCCTTTATGTAGAGATCAGCAGCACTATTAGAATGGGTGCAAATGAGAATCCTGCTGAAATAAATGGTGCAAATAAAAAGAATGATAAAACACAAAACTATTCAAGCAATATAATACCAAAAAAAAAAGCAGTGGCCGTCTTAATAGTATACATTCAACCTACTCAGCACTCTCTAACATATTACTCAATAATGTCTTTAGAAAATTATATCACTCTATTAGCTAAAAATAAATTCCCCACATTATTTTTAAATCTACATATTAAAAAGTGTCTTTTAAACCCAGCTCTTTGGGCTCTAACATGTAACAAACTCCTTAGCAGATTTTTAAGTTTTGATGGCTATTATTTTTTACATTTCCAATTTTTAAAAATTGTTTTTAGAGAATTCATATTTTAGTGCTCTGAGGTTTTGGTTTGTGCTTTCCCCCTCTCTCTCTGTTTCTCTCTCTGTCTCTATCTGCCTGTCTCTCCCTCGTACTTGGGATTGAGCCCAGAGCATTGTACATGTGCTCTACCACTGAGCTACATTTCCAGCTCCCTAGGTTTGTTTTTTGTTGTTTTTGTTTTTAATTTTTAAGAGCTGGGTGAAAATTGTCCTGCTGGGCCCCCTCATTTTGTATTTGAAATAAGAACGGTAGAAGTATCCTGCTAGTGAAATACAGGCACATGTCTCATGCCCTCACCTAGTCTCCTGCTGCTGCAGTATATGCTTAACAGCTTGAGCTAATGTAAATGTTTTGCCCGTCCCGTAGGGTCCAATGATAAGGACAGGTGGCAGCTGGATGGAAAGTGGAGTGGTAATGGCCAAAACAGCTTCTTTCTGTTTTGCATTTAGTCGAGGATCCAACTGTTCATCCCATTGTCTGTGGAAAATTAAGAACGTAAGTTATTTTAAATATATGCATCTTACTAATGAACAGAACACAATAGACAAGTATCCTGATTTTTACTGAACTAGTAAAACAACTGAAATAACACAGCATCTATAACAACTAATGCTATTCTAAACCCATATTTTAGGAAATTACCCAACAGTCACCATAGGGTGTTTTACCATGTACATCAAAAGTAACTTTAATTATCTTGTCCGAGTGTAAATATAAAAAACTTCTGTCAACTAATGTAAAGAAATTAAATGATTCTAGTTTAGACGCTGCCAAGTTCGTTATGATGTTTCAAAAATGTAATTTCCCTTTGTTACATAAAAAAATCAGAAAAAGCCAGGCATGGTGGCACACGCCTGTAATCCCAGCACTTGGGAGGCTGAGGCAGGTGGATCACTGGGAGTTCAAGGCCAGCCTGGGCTACATAGTGAGATCCTGTCTCAAGGAAAAAAAAAAAAAAATCCATCCAAAACAACCCAGGAAACTTTTTCTGATAATAATGAAATATTCATTTATTTACATAGCAAATAAAATACAAAAGGAAAACTCATTGAATTTCAAATTCTAATTCATTGAAAGGTCTCTTTAAGGTTTAAAACAAGAGGAAAAGAAAAACCTGTAAGTCTCTGATTGTTACCAAATTTTTATAAAATCTTAATTTAGAAAATAAAATAAATTTTAATGTATCCAAAACCAAACAATATGAAAAATTTTCTAGTATTTTTCACAGACATAAATCATTCATAGATATCCTTTTTTTCAGAGCCTATAACACCTGTCATGGTAATACAGATGGCTACTATAACAAGATCTATCCTAGTAGTGGCCAATCTATGAGCTGGCTGTTTTGCAGATTTAAATGGACAGCAGATGCTGAAACAGATCAAACTAAGTGGAGAAGCAACAGCATTCTTTCTCACACCTATAATTAAAGCACTAAATATCAAGACAATTATGGTAAAAACAATAGGGATATGAACCAAAATAGGAAAGGTATGTAAAGATTCTCTTAGAAACTGAGCAAAGTACCCACAAAATAATCCTGAAATAGGAAGACAGAGTTTAGACAGGAAAATTCCCTCTCTGTGAGGCTACGTGCTACTTAATCAGAAGTTAGTTATAAAAGAAGAATCATCACTATGCTTTTTGTTCTTAAAAAACAAATTCAAACCTACAATGTATGTTATCTTTGACCAATAATCTCACACCTCCCCTCTAAAATTTAAAAATATAAAATCTTAAACTCTGACCACATAAATACTGCATTACTTATTTTTCTGAACTTTAAAAATTTTTAAGTTAAAACAAAAAGAAAAAAAGAACACTGAGTAGTGGTAGTATGTTTTTTTGAAAGCTGTTTACTAAATCTCAAGCACTTTGCTTCAGAGTTCCTTTGCATTAACCAGTTTATTTATTCATTGTTCTCCCAGTAACTAGCAATGTTCCATCTTTTATAAGTGAGGAAAGACTTTAGGTGATCCCTAAGTCCAGACCTGATATATGTAGTGGGCACTGAAGAATGGTCTGTAACATTCAGAGCATTCTTCTTTGCCTTCCCCTACTATTGGGCCTGGCCAACACTCCATTTCCCAGCCTCTTTTGCTGGAATTAGGAAGAAGTCCCTCAGAAGCCCTTTTACATGCAGATGAAACCTCACTAATGATTATTTTTTTTAAGTAGAAGAAAACCTTTCTTGCTCCATTACCTTCCTCCTTCAGCTGGCTGGAAGAGTATGCAGTAAATAAATCTACAACAGCCATCACACAAACCATGAGATAAGAGCATCAAGAAGAATTATCAGCATGCTAATATTGGCAGAGGAAAGAGAGACCTGATGGCACTGTTACGCCCCTGCACCAGCCATGAATCACCTACCTCTAGACTTCTATCTCTACTTGGTTTAACCAGTTCAGGAAACTGTTACCTGCATCCATACCTGACCTCTATGATTCTGATACCTGTCCCCCAATCCCCAATGCTTCCTTTATCTGTACATGGAGATGATGATACTTACAATCAAATGATTACAGACCCAATGAGATAATACATACATGTACATAAACTATTCACTTAAAGCTGTTTGGGCAAACAATTGGGCAATAAAGATACATTTCATTTTAGTTTCTACAATATTCTCTGAGAATTCCATTACTTAACGAGTGTACACTTTTTAAAACTAAAACTTAAAAAAGAAAACATACTCTCTGCTTTCAAATCTAGGGACTTCAATTAAGAATGACAGATATGGGCCAGGGATTTAGCTCAGTGGTTCCACCACCTGCCTCGCAAGCGCAAGGACCTGAGTTCGATCCCCAGTACCAAAAAAAAAAAAAAAAGAATGATAGATATAAGATTATATACATAAGTACAAATCTAAGGGATTAATGACAGACTTACAGGTGTAATTCTGAAATATGTCAATATCTCTTTTTATGCAACCCATTCTGCTTATCAATTGTTTCAGTGTAAATAAGTGCTTCAGAGCAGATCAGAAACTTTATCAATGTCAGTCATCTCTGTAATTTCTGGCAATGAATAATGAATATGTAAAGAAAGCCAATGATTAAAACAAATTGTATTTATTGTACCACCGCTTATTATGGGAAAGATTTACAATATATATGCTATGAATCATTTTTGATTTTCACAATTTAAAACAATGTAAAGTCTCCCCAAATTTATTCTGACTAAAATAAAATAAAATAAAAATTCATTCTCAGAACCAAATTAATTCAAAGTCTTCTCTTCCTCTGGCATAACACATTGTTATAATTAATTTATAGACTACATGCTCAAAAATAATTTCTCAACTTCATATACCTATCTAATTATACATTACTCCAGAAAAGATGTTAAATGTCTTCTCAATATATCCTAGACCAGGAACTTTCTAATTACTATTTATATTACAGTAGTAAGAAGTCTTTTTCTGGTTGAAAGCTTTCCACTACTAACACTTTTCTGTTAACTTTTGCAGTTAACATAGGTGTGTGTGATATCTTATACATAATTATCAGATAGGAACATACCAAGTAAAAATACTTAAAAGTTTACTGGTATGATGTCACATGTGAAAAGTTAATTTTAATCTTTAAATTTGAACTTATTAACTTGAATCTGTCAAATACTGATAATGTGCAAGACCTTGTTGATATGAAAAATAAATAAGGTGCAGTCTCTTAACAAAGCTCAGAGTCTAGTGAGAAAAGCAGAAATAGACAACACTGACAAAAATTAATTGAAGTGAAATTATATTTGAAAGTACAAAACCATTCCTAGCATATGCTAGGCACTCAAAAAATAATTATTGAAATAATAAAATGGAAAGCCTGGGTTCATCTACTTGAAAGAGAAAGCACTTGAGCTGGATGATATCAGGCAAAGATTATTTCAAAGAGAGAAAATTACATAAAGACAAAGAGAAAGGGCAGGGGGAAGGGGAACATACAGAGTTGTTTAATAGGTATAGTTTTAATTTTGCAAGATGAAAAGGTTCTGGAGACTGGACTACACACACTTAAGGTGGTCGACATGGTAAATTTCATGTTATATGGATTATGCCACAATTTTTAAAAAAGTTTTTTAAAAGAGCAACAAAAAGATAAAGAGCCAAATATGTATAGGCTGAATCAAATAAACTTCAAGGCAATGTAATAATGGCTAGACCACGGGGACAGGGAAAAAAGGAGCGTCGAGCCGAAAACACTGAAAGAACTCAGAAAAGCTACTGCTAGAAAGCAGAGTCAATGAAACCATGGAACAGAGCTCTGTATTCGGCTCTCAAACTTTACTGACACATCAAGAAGTCTTCAGAGATTTGTGAGCAGTGAAATTACATGATTATTTTACAAAACTAACTCTGGAAGAAATGTGTAGATTGGAACAGACAATGGGGACACAAACAGCAAGAGAAAAGACCAATTAGAATGCTACAGAAAACAGTCCAGAAGAATGGAAAGAAAGGGATGAATGCAGAGAAGCTAAACCAAATGAGAGTGGAGATGTCACTGGATTTTCACAATTAGATCACAATTACTTTCAGGGCAGGGAGCAAGAAGTAAACCTACATCACTTTAAATAGAGAAGAATACTGGAAACCTGCAAACTATTCCCTCTCAAGAATTTTGACAGTAAAGAGAAGATACGGAGATAAGGCAGTAAGGGCATGCAAAAACATAGAAATGATTTGAGTTTTGGGTTGTAAGAGTGTTTTATTTTGTTTTTAGGACCAGAAAATATGAAATGTTAGGGGAACTGATACATGCCTCTTCTGGGCCTGGCTCATACAAATGTCCCACATGGTCTTTTATGCTTATTCTTCCCCTGTCAACACCCGGAGAGCCTTGAAAACCAATTACTGAAAATGCCAGGGCCTCCCTGTACAGCCACCCTGCCATGGCTGAATTGACATAAGTGATGAATAAGCTTCCATTGTGTAGAGATTACTTAAATGGTGAAATTAAAAAAAGAAAAAAAGAAGGTAGAGTGAGCTGAGCAAGACAAGGGCCAACTGGACAAAACCCAACAAAGAGGGCACTTGGGAGGCTGAGGCACGATTGCCATGAGTTTGAGGCCAGCCTGGGCTATACAGTGTGTTCAAGGCCAGCCTGAACTACACAGTAAGACCCTGTCTCAACAATAAATAAATTAAATTAAATAAAATGAGGATGAAAAGAAATATTCAGTCTTACAAATGTCATGGCTGTCTATTTGGAAGACAAAAACAGAAGTATCTTCTTTAATTTCATATAAAGACATACCAAAGAGAATGGAAGCAGAATAATATTTACATAACCATTACCTTGAGGGCAGTTTCTAAACAATATCTTCTACCCCACTTTGTTAAATCACAGTATCTACATTCAAAAATTAACTATTCAAACCACTTTAGAAAGCCCCTACTTTTCCCATTCAATTTCTACTCAGAAATATTCCTCAACTGCTTGGCACACATACTAACAAGTTAATGCTGTTAAGAAAGGCAGTAGAACTTATTTAGAATGTGAGGGAAAGCAAAGAAAATAGATCATGAACCTCAAACGTTTCAATCTAAGGTTTCCTTTAATCTCCCTTAACTATTAAAATGTCTCCTGAGGAACATAGGCAATCCTTCTTATAGAAGTATGCTTGAGTTCTCTGATACAGACATTCAACTTAATATTAACATACTTCCTTTATTAAGACATCCCCTTTCTGTACCTGTTGGGACTCCAAGGTATAGTGGGAGTCATACTGATGTCTGGAAACAATACTCCATTGTCCTTGATCCTGTCTAATGCATAATGCATTTCACAGAGGGGTAATCGATTCAATTGAAACTGAAGTTCAACCTGAAATACAAAAGGTATTTTTTTTTTTTTGGTACCGGGGATCGAACTCGGGTCTTTGCACTTGCGTAGCAGGCGGCGAAACCACTGAGCTAAATCCCCAGCCCACAAAAGGCATTTTTGAAAAAAGGATTAAAGCAAACATTAAAGCTGGCAGCTTACTAGAATACTTTGTGGAAACAATAGGGACAAGTTTAGAGATTCTTTTAAAGTGTAATTATACTCTAATAGTAGTGTGGATAGCATTTGCTTTGTTTATTTAGGACCAGGCACTATGATAAGCACTTTACCTGAATTATCTCACTTAATAGTACTAATGGTGCATATACTGTTACTAACCACATTTTACATACTAAGAAACTGAGACGCTTATAAATTAATCTCTAGATAAATTCCATCAAGAATACACTTGATAAAATATAACATCTGTAGGGCCGGGGATTTAGCTCAATGGTTCCGGCGCCTGCCTTGCAAGCACAAGGTCTCGAGTTCGATCCCTGGTACCAGAAAAAAAAAAAAATAGAGTATCTGTGAAATATCATATCTTGAATAGTAACCAGCCTTTTTACACCATACCAATTAACTAAGAATGAATAATATTCAACAAATTTTATGTTTAAAAGGAAAGAGGTTGGACTTCCAGTTAAACATGACTGAACACATAATTCAACTAAAACCTTTAAATACAGAGAAAAAGAACAGATACGACTACAGACAAGAGATGTTCCTATGATACAGCTTTAAGTAGTTTCTCATGTGTTTTCCCACTGCTGATTTAAACTCTAAAAATACTTGAACCTTGTATAGAACTGTAATATTCTAGATGTTAATTAAATTTTTAAAAATCAATTTTCTCAGGGCCGGGGATTTAGCTCAGTGGTGCCGTCACCTGGCTTGAAAGCGCAAGGTCCTGAGTTCAATCCCCGGTAGCACAAAAAAAAAAAAAAAAAAAAATCCATTTTCTCTGGGAGTTACTAACAGTCAAATTCTCAACCCATCAGTGTAAGACTTCAAAGTTAACTGTTAATACTTTTGCTTATAGTAGAAGGTAAACCAAATCAGAAGGAGGATATTAGCTGACAATGGGACTTCAGACACCCATGGTCAAGGTGTGACTTTCAAACATACCTGTGTGTCACAGTCAGGCCGAAGATTAAGTTCTTCACAGCATTCCCTGGATATCCGTAAAAATATATATTCTTTCGTTTTTTCTTCAATAGTAGCTTCATAAACCTTCTCTTTGGTTCCCTGGGTCTGTACTAACTTCTCTTTAGGAACTGGTAATAAATAAACAGCATTGACTTTGGTCATCACCAGTCGTCCAGCCAAAGTATCTTCAGAAAGTGTCTCAGTAAGCTTAAAACGACCAAAAAGTTGTCCGTTTTGGGCATACTTTGCACCTCCAGAAACTCCAGTGAGCATGAAGCTTGCTAGAATCTGCAATTGCACTTTTAGGTTGAATCTAAATCAGACACAGAAAACTAGTTTGAATATTTTACATCAAAACCATAAAAACTAGAAGAGTCAAACAAAAATCAAATATAAACATACCAAAAACTGTAACTTCTATCAATTTCACTCTATAATGCTAAAGACTACATACTAGCTTTCTGCCATAAATTCAAACTTTGCAAGACTCTCTTTCAATAGTGTTACTGAATAACAACCAGAATAAACTTGTATTCACGGGGACAAGGAGGCAGAGCTCATGGAGAACTTTGGAGAACTTTATTAGACAATAGAAGGGTGCTCACACTTCCATAGGTGCACATGAATATGAGAGAACACATGTGAAAGAGGCACAGAGAGGGCCGGGGATTTAGCTCAGTGGTTTCGCTGCCTGCTGTGCAAGCACAAGAACCAGAGTTCGATCCCTGGTACCAAAAAAAAAAAAAGAGGCACAGAGAAACAACACTGACTTACAAGGACAAACACAAAGCTCTGAGAGAATGACTGGCACTTGTCATTTACCATATAAAATGGGACTGGTGATGTTATTATGATAAAAAGTAAGGGACACACTTCCTACTTTTTCTTAGGTTTAAAAATTCTCAATGAAAAAATCAAATTGTTTAATATCTTTGGGGAAAAAGCTACATTTAATGGTATTATTGTTTTCAGATCTTCTGTATATGTATGTATATGCATATGTATGTATATGTTCTGTATATGTATATATGACATCAAGAATATCCTGCACTTGCAAGCGCAAGGTCCTGAGTCTGATCTCCGGTACAAAACAAAGAATATCTTAAGAAAGAAACACTTTTTAAAAACATTATAAATGTCTTTAATGGAAATGTGTATTGTTTGTATATCAGAAAATCAGCTACTGTTATATTAAAATTTTGAACATCCATTCATATAAAGTTACAAATTACAAGGACATTTACTAAACGTCTTGTCCACCTTAAAGTCATCAGTGACTATCCTAGCAGCTAACACTTTGAAAGCTCAATAAATTTTGTTCACTGAATATTCATTTCTGTAATTTTCTGATTTTTTTCCAGGCACCATATTCTCATTTCAATCATTTTACGTTATTCTCTAACAAATTCTTGAAATTCTGTCTTAGGCAATATATTAAAATTTTACTGTTATATCCATTTTAGAATCTGCTATCCCCAAACACTTGATTAACATTTAGCAGGCAAGAAAAATTAACCTCACAGTTTTAGACCAACAAGAGAATCCTCTTGTTGACATTTAGTTGTGCCTCGTGACAAAGCTCTTGAAGTAGAGTCATGAGAAAAATAAAACACTAAGAAGTACAGCTTTTCCCACAGAAGATTAATCATATATTCAAGATGAAGATATTACAGACTTTCTACCGGAAGTTCCAGCAGCAATACTTAATTTTTCTAAATTAGTAACAAATTAAAACAAATTCCATTAGTAATCTCTCTTGGGTATTAAAATAATATGCATCTTTGAAACTTAACTCAGAAATACCTAAAAATACAAAATATGTTTACAAAATATATCATAAAATATAAAATAATTTATAATTAACAAAGATATTTCTTCCTAAAAGGAAAAGCCATCTGTCCATTGTTGCACGCTACATTTCAAAATCAATCTTTATGCTTAACATAATTTCTAACCTTTTGGGTAATTATAGAATAACCAACCAATTTTTCAAAAATTTTAAAACCATACTTCTAGCTAATGGGAAATATGGCTTTATCAAACATATCAATAGTTGTATCTCTTAATATTTTAATTTTTTAAAAATGTCAAAGCTATGTAGTGAATTTCTTTTCACTGGATTTTTGACTATGTGAACAACAAAAATCAACCAAAGTAACAAGACAATCCCTAGGGTTAATGAAGCAGAGCAACAGTACCAAAGTCTAACCAACAGAGGCCACATCTATCTTCCTGATAAAAAGTGCACTCCATGTTAGGCCTGTCATGGCAGCTGATGGCACTGAGAAGCCAGGCACAATGACCTGATTAAGCATGCCACCACACACTTTAATGGACACAGTGCTTCAGCCAAAGTAAATTTCTTTTGAAAATATATCTCTTTAACAGCTTCAAGGTAGAATCTATTTAATACACATCAACATGTGGCTGAAGATAAGTAAAAACAGATCACAAAAGAAGTCAGAATGCATTTTCCTTATTACTTATACATATTTCACACTGTAACACCATACTCTTAATTTCTGGACTGTTTTTAAAAATCATCTCTTTTTGGGCCGGGGATTTAGCTCAGTGGTTTCGCTGCCTGCTGCGCAAGCACAAGGACCCGAGTTCAATCCCCGGTACCAAAAAAAGAAAAATCATCTCTTTTTAAGAAGATAAATTCATTACTAAATTCAAGTTCAAGTCAAAAAATATATTTTTTCTATAGTCTTAGGAGCTTTCATTCACTCTACTTTCAAGGAAAGAATGCTAAGATGATTATTTCAAAGGTACAGTTCAATTCTTATCAAAATGTAAGAAACCAGTATGAATTCCCTTTATACTACTTTCATTTTTAGTACTTAAAATTACTTAAATTGTCAAAATTCTTTCACTGACATAATCTCTCAACATTGGAAATATACTACCAATCCTGTGGTAGGTCTGATTACAACGTCACAAAGGGGGGTATTTCAGTGACTACAGAACAGACCTATTACCGTCAATACACATCCAAATCATTCACAGATGAGTTCATTTACCCATACCATTGTTTTCTATCTTTAAATCAGGTCTCAAACCACAATAGAACAGTTCCAACAATAACTTGGGTTTGCTCTGGTGACCGATACGGACTGAACAGACACACAAAACAACTCCATCAGACACAAGGGAGCATGAACTAAATTAACCCTGATTATTTTTGTATCACCTTTGAGTAAGAACGTATTTTACAAGGAAACCTAACAAAAATGATATGCAAGGGCCAGGGATTTAGCTCAGTGGTTCCACCGCCTGCCTCGCAAGAACAAGGTCCCAAGTTCGATCCCCGGTAACAAAAAAAAAAAAAGAAAGAAAGAAGCAAAGAAATTCAAATATACTTGTAAAAAAAGATTATACACTATCTTAACCAGTGTCTATAATCTGTTTCCCCAAAATCCCTTCTTTGCATACCTAAGAGCATTTTTACAACATGAACATCAAGTGTTGCAACTGACAAGGTGCTGGTCTCATATTTCTTTATTTTTTTCAAGTTAAATATGTGGTCATTGAAGAACATTCAAAAACAGAGATAACTATTAGAACATAAAATTATCTGTAATTTTACCAATCAGAGTACTTTACCATAATTCTTTCCAGTATTTTTATATACAAAAGAAAAAATACACACACACACTCTTGGACCCTTGACTTACAAACTCAATTGGTTCCCAAGGGCTGATTGTAACTCAAGTTGGTTGTAAGTCAATAGAGCTGAGATCTGGATATTTACCTGGATACACACTATAGATAACAAGAAGCAGATGAATCTTTCATTAACCTAATTAACCCAAGTTGTTCATATGTCAGGCCAGTCATAACTTGTGTATATGTGTATATGTATATGTTATGTGTGACACACACAAAATTAGAATGGCAATGGGTAGGGTTTTTATGACTAGCATGTTTTCATTCTTAATTGTATTTTATAAGGATTTTCTTTTTTTCAACCTGTGGCTTTGGTGTTCTGTTTTGCCTTTCCTCTCTCCTTTGTGTTGCTGTTGTTGTTTTGGATACCAGGGCTCAAACTCAGGACTTTGTGTTTGCCAGGCAGGTGGGCGCGCCACTGAGCTACATCTCTGGCTCTTAATATTAAAATATCAATAGTTATATAATGTTCAATCATATGGCAATACCCTAATTGATTTAACATTTTTACTACCCTTTTAAAGACATTTGTGTACAGATATCTTTATCTTCATCTCTTTTAGTTATTTCTTCAGAAGGACTCCTCATAAGTAGAATTACCTTACCAAATGGTTAATCTTTCTACAAGTCTTTAATACAAAATGCCAAATGGCCCTCCAGAAATAGCATATCAACTTACTGTGTCATCCATGCTCTCACTTCATATTGCTGACCTTTTCAGGATTCCCTAGGGTCTTAGCTTTGAAAGCCTTTGCAAGATGCTCTTAGATGAATTTTCAACCACTTCTTGTTTATTTTGTTTTTTGTTGTTTTGAGTTTTTGGTTTTGTTTTGTTTTTTGAGACAGGGTCTCATTATATAGTTCAGGCTGGACTTGAACTATGTAGCCCAGGCTTGCCTCAAATTTGCGGTGATCCTCCTGCCTCAGCCTCCCAAGAGCTGGGATTACAGGCCTGCACCAATATGCCTGGGAACAACCACTTAACTTCTTTTTGTTTTCTTTTGGTACCAGGGATCGAACTCAGGACCTAGTGCTTGCAAGGCAGGCAGCAGAACCACTGAGCTAAATCCCTGACCCACTTAACTTCTTAATCAGTGTCTGACCTCCATAGTGTTACAGGGTTTCCTCTTTTTATCCATTCAGACAAATTTTCACTTTTAAAAGATTATTTTAATATAAATAATCCATAAGCTTTTTGGTCTTTTGTTGTAAGTTCTAAGGTAATAAAACGATTTATAAACTTACTAAAATATTAAATACCATCCATGTAAGTTAATAGAGAATTTCTTTCTAAATTTCTAGTAAATACTCAAATTAATCTCAAGATTCTGGCAAGCTTTTAAATGCTATTTCTTCTCAATATTTATGACCTGTCATAATGCTCTTTCCTAAAGAAAAGGGACCTATGATAATGTAAACAATATACTTACATATTGGTAATGTGAATAATGTACCTGACAGAAGACACTGTACTTGTTATTCAATAACTAATGATTTCACTAGAATAGTCTCCAGACACAATCAATAAAAAGCCTTTTAAGAGGGGTCAGGGATTTAGCTCAGTGGTTCCACCGCCTGCCTCGCAAGCTAAGGACCCGAGTTCGATCCCCAGTACCAAAAAAAAACCTTTTAAGAGACCATAAACTGAGCTGAGGATGGAGTTCAGTGGCAGAGCCCTTGTGAAGTATATAAAGACCTTGGGTTTAATGCCCAGCACCAAAACAAACAAAGAAACAAAAAATCGTAAGTGGGCTATGATAGAAAGTTTTAGAATACAGAAAAATAAACTATATTCTAACTTGGTACATTTTACATGAATTTAATTTGAAATTAAATCATTTCAAATGTTAGAATTTATTTAATCTATAAATACAGTTACGCAAGGTAACTAAGTTTCCACTCCTTTTCTGAATCAACCCTCAATAAACATTCAGAATCTATTAATAATATTAATGACAAGCTACAAATAAGTCACGTTGTACAAGAAAAACGTTGAACAGGCTGCAATTAAATTTTTTAAAGTTTATAAATATAGTCATGTCTCATACTGTGGTTCAATTATTAAGGCTCATCCTCATTTTATTTCTAAATTAGAAAGCTACTACTAAATGTAACAACTATCTCAATAACATGTTCTTTCAGTCAAATTTTCACTTCTTTTATTCCTAAAATAACCAAATAAGCTTGTGATTTAAGCACTTGGTCTTAGCCTGTGGCACACGAATAAAATATAAAACATGTTAAAGCATTTTAAATTGCTATAAAGCTATTCTATTATCAAAATTTTCCTAACATTCCAAATCAATTCACTCTTAAATAATTTTCAAAACATGTTTTCATTTTTTCAACAAATATTCACTGAATGCTTGCTGTGACTACCACTCACCAAAACCTCTTTAAGAGCAGGAACCACAGATTCATACTTCCAGCACGTGGCAAAGAGTAGATCAATCCCTTAGTAGATGCTTATTAAGGTCTTATGGAATGAACAATGTCCTAAACACAGTTCTTGCCCTAATGAGCTCGTATGCCATTTAAAGATAGAATACAGCTACCAAAGAGCAACATGTTAGTATCTGTCTTCACTCAGGCATACTTCCATTTCAAAAACAAAAATACCACCCGAAGGAAAGACTTAACAAAGAAAGACAGGACAGTATTTCTAAAGTAACTTACTTGCTGACTTCTTTGTACTGGGCTATCTCCTCGATATAAAGGAGGTCGTGCAACCTTGACTGATAGTTGGTCTTGGTCAATGATTTGTCTAAAACGGACTGGGTAAATAGCTGGTCAGCAGAGAGAGGAATTTGGTATCTGATAAGAAGGCTCTTCTCCAAATCAGTAGTTTCATTAGGTTCAAAATCTACAATAGTCTTAGAAGAAGAATCCCAGCGCTTAGCTGTACTTACTAGCTGTTGTTTTGCATGCATCAGGTATTCAAGATCTAAAGGGAAACAAAAAATATATTTATAAAGGAACACGACATTAAATTTTATGAATAATATATTGCATATTTTGTCAGAGAGTTTTATATACTAGAGATAAAATTCTTAGAAAAAAAAATAAGAACCCACTGGGAAAGTATTTTCCCCATATTGGAAATATTTTTTGTCCACTTGAATAAAATAACATTAATAGATATCCATGTAAAGAACCTAAGGCCAGGACAGACCACAAATAGTTATTAATGTTTTTTTAAGTGTAGATTAAAATTCAGAACTTAACTCTTCAGTCAAGAGAAATCTGATCTGGAGGCAGGAAAAATGTGTAAATTCCTTATAACATAATTTTTTAAAGATAATAATCGCTTTCCTCCTCTATTAATACCTGTCCCATTACACAAGGAGATCAAAAACCTGTGAAAAGTTAAATTTTTTCTTGTGTGGTAAAGCACTGTGAAACTATCTGAACGTCAATTTACTACAAACAAAAATCTTTTAGAAGACAGACATGTATGATACTGTTGATTTCTCATTAAAATGTGATACTATGCCATTTTTGAAAAAATCCAGTTTAGTCTCAGTGAAATTATACTGAAAGATGAGTAATTGTTCAAATTCTGACATCTTTTAAAAAAATGTAGTACACAACCAGCCCATACTGAAAGCATAAGAAACTCCATGTGTGATCACCCCCGTGCTCAATCTGTAGTGCATGTTACTTTCTATTGGATGGAATATGTTTACATCTAAGAAAATGAAACTTAACCAAAAGAAAAAAATGTTGCCCAGCTCACTCAGGAGGCCAAGTTTTTGTTTTTTGGGGGGATTTTTTTGGTACCAGGGATCGAACTTGGGACCTTGCACTTGCGAGGCAAGCAGCGGCACCACTGAGCTAAATCCCTGGCCCTATTTTTCTCAGTTTTTAACATGAACTATGAAACCATCTTGAATTATACTGTATTAAAACTTGGCCTACTGGGCTGGGGATTTAGCTCATAGGTGCCGCCGCCCGCCTCACAAGCGTGTAAGGTTGCGAGTTCGATCCCCGGCAGCAAAAAAAAAAAATTGAGAAAAATAAAAAATCCAAAGATCAGTGAGTCTCCAGCGGACAAATACAAATTATCCTAAATTATCTTCAAAATAAGAATACAGATGTAATTGTCATGTCTTGTTTAGTGAGTCATTCTGCAAATTTTAAATGTAAGTATGGCTATCCACCAAAGAAATTTCTCAACAGTAGCAAATAACCAGTCCTAATATCATAACAAAAATACAACCAAAAATATGAAGATCCCCGATTTCTAACCTTTGTCCCTTTTTTAAGGCATTTTTTTACATGACAAATTTATTATTTCTCAAATTGCAACATAAATGTCATCAAGACGTATAGATGGTCTGCACATTAATATTTTACACTTTAGAAATACTCTGGTCTATTATAAACCTATAGAATTTCTTCCCCTGAGATGTGGTAACATCTCAGAAACTAGAAATATATTTAAAGAGCAATCTATAAAAAAAACCAAAGATATATGTTTTTGCAATATCCTAAGTTTCCTGAAGTAACCATATCTTCTTCCTAAATCACTATAAAATTAAGCTCTTCCTAGTCATTCATTAGAGGATAACTACAAAAAGGATTTAAATTATGCAAATGATAACAGTCCTAAAACAGAATATACCATCACTAAAAATCAGGTGTTCATTATCATTCCAATAGAAGGATGTATATAGTTTTTATCTTAATCTTAAAAGTCAAAAAGGAAAACAGCAATGATACAGCAGCAAACCAAATAACCAGCTATTTTTAAATGTTTTGTTTTCGGCTGGGGATTTAGCTCAGTGGTGCCGGCACCTGCCTTGCAAGCACAAGGACCCGAGTTTGATCCCTGGTACCAAAAAAAAAAAACCAAAACCAAAAATACAATTAAACTACACAATACTAAAGAATCTATTTAGTAAACAGAAAAATGAAGGCTACTGTGTAGGATCAGGAGAATTATTTTGCATAATTATATCTTAAATTGTATTTTATTTAAATAAAGTCAGACTATGCTTAAATCAATATTATAGTCACACAGTTTAAAAAGTCACTAGTTAGCCAGGCCTGGTAGCACATGCTTGTAGTCCCAGCACTCAGGGAGGCTGAGGCAAAAGGTTGCACATTCAACCCTAGCTTTGGCAGCTTAGCAAAAACCTATGTCAAAAATTTTAAAAATTTTAAAAGGCTGGGGACTTTAGCTCCATTTGAAGGCCATGGATTCAAGCCCCAGTACCACGCTAAAAAAAAAAACAACAACAAAAAAAGTCACTAGTTATTCCTAACTGATTATTAAATAGCTGAGACAATAACAAAGCTAAAACAGTAGAACTTTTTGAGAAAGCTTTTTATATTACCTATTAAATATGCAAATCAAATTATACAGAAAGTCTTTCTATTCTAGGCCTCTAATATTCAGACTTTTTGGAAAAACCAGCATGAGTAACAGTATCTTTCTCATTTTATCTATATAGTCCCATGATTCTTATCCTGGTTTTAGGGAATTCTTAAAAGTATCATGAGGAGGTAGTATAAAAATTCCAAAACAATTCTCAATGTTAAATTTACTTAATTTTTAAGGGCCGGGAATTTAGCTCAGTGGTTTCGCTGCCTGCTGTGCAACCCCAAGGACCCAAGTTCGAACCTCGGTATGAAAAAGAAAAGAATTTTTAAATGACTATGTGTCAAAAAGTCATGAATATAAAATGGCCAGTGAGTGCTAAGGATACAGTTTTATAAAAACCACTTCTCTTTCCCTACTTTATGTGAAATTCTGCTCAATTCCTTCACTTTAAGAAGAAACTTAACTATGCCTGTTTAATGACCCACCAAATTTATAGTGCTTAAAGGTCATTTGGTCTTTAGAGTGCCTCTTTAAATGTGAGGGAGAAAGAGGTGAGGTTCCGCAAGTGAGGACACTGGATGTGACTGCCACTGTGGCTGTGTCATTCCTGTCTGCAGCACATGCATGCCTGCCAACATCTAAACCAGACCGACACTGCTCAGGACAGCCTGAGCCAACACATCTTTGATGTGTACTTTTCTTCACCCTACCTAAGGCTAAAATGAAAAACACTCTGGAAAGACAAAAAACAAGTTAGGACCAATATACCTAAAACCACTTAGACAACATTTAATACTGACTCATCAACCAATTTCTGTAATAAATATCAAAGTAAACCCAACAGAAATTATAAACCTATGGAATTTCTTCCCCTGAGATGTGGTAAACAGAAACTAGAAATACATTTTAAAAGAAATCTATAAGAAAAAATTAAAGATAATTAGGATATACCTAATCTTTTAAAACTAATAAAAGCGAAGGACTGCTGCTGTCAAAAACAGAATTCAAGACTAGAATAACTAGTCTGACACAAGATATACTTCCCAACTTCCCCAACTCTTCTGATACTGAGAACAGCAGCTGCTCTCACTTGAACCACAAAGTTACTATTCTAACACAGCATCCCAAGGTTTGCCAACTTGAAAAATATCTTTAGCCTAACAGCTTATAGAATAAAAAGGAAAATACCTAGTGATCTAAGTACCTAGCATTAGGGCTGACACATAAGATTCACGCAATAGAGGAACCCATCTGGGACATCGTGATCTGTCAGAGCTAACCCCAAAGGATGAAGCACTATGAGTTCTATAAAACCGTGATGCCACCCATGGAGCAGGAGGCATCCAGAGTTATCACCAGTCAAAGCACTGTTGTCAAGTATATGTTGGATGGATTCACACAAGTAAAAGAATAGATTATATAATCCACTCTCCCTTGCTGAAAAGTAGAAGACAGATGAGCTATGAGAAAGAAACAGTACTATAGCAGAAAAGAGAAACAAATAAAACAAAATGACCCCTTAAAATAATGAAGATTAGTATAGTTAGAAGAAAAAACACTATGTAAACAGGATACAAATAAAATTGTCATTTCTAGGCATGATCTAAAGAGAAAAAAAAGATGCATGCAATTAATGCATGTTAAATACAAAATTTACTTAAAACACTTAAGTTTATCTAAGACTTATAGGAAATGAGATGAAATGCTTGAAATTCATAATTCAGACACCACACTCTTTCTTAGAAAATATTTTGGTCTTGACTGCCCAAAATAACAATGATAAAAAAATGCGAAGGTAATCCCAAACTACCACTTCCACCATCCAGCTCAGTATTCTTCCCTTCCCCAAAACTGTTAGCTATAAGTAACCTGAGTATCTCTTAGCTTCCTCATGCTGTCTGTCCCTATTTGTGCTCTCTTTATTAAAGAGGGTAACAAAAAATTAAAATAGCAGAGTGTGGCAGCACGAATATCTCAAAGTTTTCATACATTTCTACTGTTACATTTAACTTTTCTTGACACACTTTTTAAATCTATTTTTTTTGCCTGGCATAATGGCTCATGCCTATAATCCCAGCACTTGGGAGGCTGAGGCAGGAGAACTGTCATGAGTTAAAGGCCAACCTGGGGTACATAGTCAGTTCAAGGCCAGTCTGAACTACATGGCAAGACTTTGTCTCAAAAATCCAAACAATACATAAATTAATACATAATAAAATATATTTTTCTATTGCTTTCCTGATCACATATTATATAGCTATAGGCATATAATATATCCTTAATTTACCAACAACCTTGGCAGGTGGGAATTACTTTTAAGTCATACTAGATTTTAACATATACTGCTAGACTCAAGAGAAATATACAGTATATGAAGCTTTTACATCTAACCATACAAGCAAGTCTTTAACATGCTGCCTCCAAATATTAACAACACAATTTCAAATCTGTATTTCAAAGCAAAAACTCCAGGGTCAGGGATATAGCTCAGTGACACCATGCCTGCCTTGAAAGTGCAAGGTCCTGAGTTTGATCCCCAGTACCAGAAAAAAAAATTCCATTAATCAAAGTTGTGGTATAAAGTATATAATTCAATTTTACTAAGCTAGGGGAAAACTCACTAATTTCCTTCTTTTGTAGATCTCTTTTCCCACATATTTTTGAGAAACATATCTCCAATTTAAATCCAAAACTATTTTAGTATATAATGCTTTTCTGAACCTGAATCTTACCAGCAAAGAAAAAAACTGCATTAAAGTTATATATATTTCTTGACTAGTCTGTAGGATTACCATACAACAACTAGAAAAAAAATTCATTCATGGCCTATCAATAGAAAGGTCTGGATACTTCAGATATCAGGACAAAACAGAAAAATTACAAATTTTGTTTTCTTCTTTGAATTAACTAAAAAAAATAAATAAATAAATAAGGATTCTTAGTTCCATATAGAACAATAAATTGGGGAAATACAGGCTGCATATAACTTGATTTTGATTTTCAATGAGTCATATACTAATGGAATGAAAGTCTGACACCCACTGAGGTTTTTTGTTGTTGTTGTTGTTGTCTTGATAGTGGGGACTGAACTCAGGACCTTGCGCCTTGCCAGGCAGGTGGGGCGCCACTGAGCTATATTCCCAGTCCCCTACTAAGAGTTTTTAATCACCAAGGCACATTGTAAATCTAAGAGGGAAAGAGAGCATGAAGCAATTCTACACTTATTTGTACATGTAAGTCTTTACCATAAGTGTTGCTATTTCATCGGAACACAGATTAGGAAGCATTGAGCTAAAAGATGGCCCAGCATGGCCCAAATTTATAACTTTATGAAAAAATATATACATTTCCAGAATTAATTTAAAGACAAAAACCTGTATTAAACAATGAACAGTCAAATGGAAGAAGCAATAAAGGTATTTCTCATTCAAATTAGTTTCACACCATCACTAAATTTATGTGTGCAAAACCAAATTATAATTTATAATGAAATAAAAACTATACGGAAACAAGAACCCCAGACCTAATTCAATTTCCAACTGTGTTTGTCCAATCTGAACCTAGAATGACATTTTCCTCTTAATTATATAACAAAAATGTTCCAAGAATGAATTGGCTGAGGCTGGAGGTCAAATGACCTGGGTCTTCACACTGCAATAATTGAACAATGTAATAATCTGCCTCTGTGTCTCCAAATGTCCACACAAGTATTCCAGCAAATGATAACAAACAGGATGCTTCCACTTTATATCTTTATGACTCAAAATGTTTTATAAATTGTAATTGGACATAAATTTTTTGCTGATAAGAACTCTGATAATTAAAACTACTAACTAGTACTAACAGAAAAGCAGCAAACAAATAATATTTATATCCTGCTTTCATTTCTCCACAGTTCTGTTAGGACTCTGTACACAATCACACTAAGACATATAATCATCCAATAAAAAAAATTTAGGTCCAGGCACGGTGGCACATGCCTGTAATGCCAGCACTTGAGAGGCTGAGGCAGGAGGACTGCCATGAGTTCAAGGCCAGCCTGAACTACACAGCAAGACCCTGTCTCAAAATACAAAACAATATTTAGGAAATTAACAAAAAATGATAAGATAGTCAATAACATCAATTGAAAGAGTAGGAAAAATTTTAAAGACAGAGGTAAAAATGAGCATAACAGGTCATCACCAGCATTGCAAAATAAATAAGCAAACAAACAAATAAATGCTTATATCAGAAAATAGATTGTGTACAATTTACACTGTTATCTTGCAATATTCACTTTTCTTGTTATTGAAAAACAAATTTCACTATGGGAAATTATTTTAATGTTTCCAAATCAGTTCAAGAAAATGCTTAACTTTTTCAATTATTTTTTGTAACATAATTACTTAAAAGTAAAGCTTTATTTAACAAAAACCTGCAATGGAAATTAAACCACAAAGTGGTTACTAAAGGAAAGGATATAGTACCTATACTATCAAAAAGGGAGAAGTTATTATTTTGTTAGTTCCCTCTATCATATCTGAATGAAATATAAAATTTATTGTATTTACAAACTGCTACATCAGAAACATCAGAAAAGAACTATTTCTTCCAGTTACCAGATTCAAAACATTAGTCCTCTTGAACAACCTCTTTCAATCTCCTTATTTACTAAATGCCTACTATAGCAGATATTTTGTGAGGCTTACTTCTAGTCCTCAAAATCCTCTGACATGATCATGAGTCCAATTTTATAGATGTTTCCCCATGAAGCTCAGAGATGTTAAGTATTCTATCCAGGGTCATACCGGTAATATGGAGAAAATCAGGATTCAAATCCAATTCTATTTGACTCTGAATTTTGCCTACTGTTCTTCCTCTCCAACTATAAAAGTAGCACATATCTGAGAAAAAAGTAGTCAACCTAACCCTCACTGTTCTCCACCCCATTAAATCTTCATCATCATCTTTTCTCTTTATCAGCTGTTTTAGCTGTATCACTTTCTTTTCACTTTGTTCTCTGAAGACAATTAACATGTTATTAATTAACTTTTATTAACTAGTGTGGATTCTTTACAACATTTCTTTAGAAAAATGAGTCATGAGTTGCAGATCACCAATCTAAATGCAAACTTCTAAAATACATCCACATGTAAACCATGAGCATCTTTTACAACTTGTATTTGAGAGAAGGGAGTACATGCTGGTCTCTCTTTATGAAATAAATCTCCTTGTAAACCAGACATGGCAGCAAATCACTCTGAATTAGGAGCATCACAATTCAAGCATAGCCTGGGCAACTTAGCAAGACCTTGTCTCAAAAGTAAAAAAGGTCTGGCAATGTACCTCAGTGTGAACACTCTGGATTCAATTCCCAGTACTACCCCCACTCTCAAATCTTGAAATTTAAAAAGTGTGCTTTCTAGTAGTAGTCCTAAAGTTCTGGACACTGAAAGCAATTTACTAATACAGAAGTGAGCAAACTACAGCATGCAAGCCAAATCCAGCCCACAGTTGTTTCTGAAAACAAAAGTATGCTGGAACAATCATGCCCATTTGTTTTTGTCACCTCTGGCTGCTTCCTCACAACAATGCAGATCTGAATAGCTGTGATAGAAACCCTTTGCTCTGTAATATCTAAAATATTTACTATCCTTTGTAGAAAGAATTTGCCAAATCTTATGCTTGTATTTTTACTTTATCAATTCTCATATCTATTTGGCTATTACAAGAGTATTAAGAGTAACATATCACAAAATACAAATAGATAAAAAAGGATCAAAGTAAAGAGGACTTAAGGTAAAATGAAGTCTGAGTAATACTAACACACAACCAAGAATACGTTACCTAATTGTGAAATCTGAACACAAATGTTGCTTTAACCTCACCTAGCAGAGGGAGAGAGACCAACTCTACACATCCACCATCTCCAAATAATAAAATCATATCATTTGCTCATGAACAGAACAACCTTTTCTAGGTTCTCATGAATGGGATATGGTGGTATGTAATGAAAAACATCCTCTACATTATGGTCAGGGATAGTCAATACCAAGTTTCATACAGCATAGCCATATGAAGTGTTAAACAAATACTTAAGTGTTTGTTAAGTAAGTAAGGCACCTATGAATCCAACCAAGAGCCAAAGAAGTGTGGGCTAACACGCCCTTTCTTTGTCCTGTTGGATCTAGGCATAAAATTTAGGTATAGGCAATAACATAACAACCTACAAAATAAAGCATCATCTTCTCCAGGTGTTTACAGAATCCAGGGCCCTCTTTCCAAAAACACAGAGTGGATCCCATTATAGGTACCTGACCTCCTTAACAGTCGTGAACATATAAACTGACTTATGAAGTCTTATACTGAGGACTTTTCATTCAGAAAGAATGTATTAGTACCAGCAAAGTTAACTGGTCAGTCAGTAAGACATGGAAACAGGCATTGTAAGTGTATATACAATTACCATTAAAAAGGCATTCTATCCAAACTAAGACTGAAAGATTTTACTGTGCTGAAATCATCTTATTTAAAAGAAAATTGGTAGACCATAACAGACCTTTTCATCTACTCAAATAAGTTTAGGGGACCTCAAAGCAAGATTTGCTCAGTGACTAAATGAACAGATCAGGGCACAATGTGAACCATTCTAAGCCCACTGCACAGTAAATGAGTTAATTAATTTGGACTTTTCTCATTATTCTCTCCCTGTCCAGGGAATATTTAGGGGCCAATACATATCTTTTAATGTTGCCTTTTAATACATCGCATCAGGGAAAAAAGTCTAAATATTACCTTCTGTAGAAGCTGCATCAATCATTACTCTTTGCATGAGTACTGGTTCCAATCCAAAGTCGAAAACTATGGTTTGGCGAAAAGTTCCAAATATTTCTGTGTTAAATGCTATCCCGACTTTATACACGTAATGATCTAATCCATTTTGGGCCATCTTTCCTCCTATCCATTCTTGACAGTTTTCTGGGACTTCTTGTGATACCTGGGTAGTACTATCTCCGGCAGATATTGCAATGATACTAAAATGAGGACGATGAGCATCATAAAGCAATGCTACACGATACAGCATTCTTGCAGGCTACAAGGAAGTTAAAATAATTCATTGAGTACAAGGGGGTGAAAAATCCAATTGTAATTGGGCTCTTCTATGAAAATATTTCCATAATGGATTGTTAGTTTCTCATGCTTCTAAGATTATGTTCAAAATATAAACTAAGTACATATGTCATTTAAAAAGAAAAAAAACACAAGAATGGTTAAAAAAAAAAACAGTTAAAATGATGTATTATGCCATATTACTAGCCTTCCTGTTCCTTCACTGATGTGTTTACCTTTCACTGTGGCAAAATCTATCAACCTACATCACCCTCAATCTCTAACTTTTCATATCCTTTGTCTAAAAAAGTTTTATGAAGCCTCAAGTGGGAAGTCTTCATAGGACAGGAGTTACATCTGAAAGCACTGGATTGGGTTCAAGACTGAAGCTAAACACTTAGAATTTACATCTCAAGGTACAGAAGGTACAGTGGAAAAAACAACATAAAACTTTTCCACTGAACACAGTCACTAAAATTTTTTACTTTATTCAGCTTAAATTTTGACCACTGTAACTAAGATGAACAGCACTTAACATGAAAAAATATCTCGTATTAAGCCATTTTTACAGAATTTGTGATCTCATGAAATCAAATTTTAAAACATGTTTTAATTGTTTAAATATCTTAGAACTTCCAGATTAAACAATTCAATTTAAATAGTTAATTGTAAGCCATGAACCCCATCCTATGTTCCTTGGAAGACAGTATGTCAGAGATGTCTTTACCAAATAAGTAAACAAGTAAAAAAGAAAGCCTTTTAAACAGCTACAAAGATCTTAGCTCAAAGTAAAAAAAAAATATATATATATATATATATATAGAGAGAGAGAGAGAGAGAGAGAGTACTTTCAACGACTAAAGTACAAAGATCCACTTTAGTACAATACAGAACCTACAAAAGATGTACTTAGATTAAAACACTCAATCCTCGCTTAACACAGAGATATAAAAGTCCAAAAAAGCTTTGGGAAAACAGAATAAAATTTATATTCTTTAGCATAAAATTCATACCTTACAAGTGAGAGCAAAAGTCCATGTCTGATGAGATTTTTTGGTGTTGACAGTAACAGACAAGTCAGGATTATGCTCTACCTTTATTCCTTCTATACATTCACTAAGCTGGAAATAAAGAACATAATGTTTTGTTACAAAAAACACAAAAACTTTCAACATAGTAAATAATCTCACCAGTAAAGATACTGATGGAGCTGTTTACCATGATATTTTATACATTTTTTTTCTCAGCTAGTTTTACAAGAAAATAAAGCTAAAATAAAAAATGGAAGAAAATTAACCCCAACCAAAAAATGGCAATCAAAACCTGCCTGAAAGATGGTAATTAATATAACACCTAAAATTCTCCAAATAAATAGTTTAGTTCTGCACTTAATTTTAACAAATGTGCCTACTTTTGCTGCTAAAACATCATTTTATATGGAATCAAGTTCTTCATATATTAGTTAAGGAAATAAATCAAAATACTGTACAGCACATGAAAAAGTCAAAATTCAAACAGGTTCATTGTTTAAGACGACCAAAAAAGGAAAAAAGCAGTTTAGTTTATTTTCCTCACCACTTTCTCAGGAGATAATGAATTCATCCATTTTTCTATCAAGGTTTCCATGTAACTGCCTGAGAGCTGTTTATTCTCATTTTGCTGTTTCAATTTTATCAACCGTGAAGCGTATCTTTTCTGCCATTCTGCTAGTTCTTCCTGGGAATGTGCTGAAGTACACTGGGCACCATACCTACAGATTCCTTGCTCTAAAAATCTAAGTGAAATAGGAAAGACTGTTTTATCATATATTTTGTTTAACCATTTCAATACAGACTTCCAGCATTTGTGCTCTGCCTCCTCAGTAACAACAACAACAAAAACTGAAATGTCATATTTATCACAGTCTTACATGACAGAGGGAGATACGTTTTAGAGACATGACAACACTCATAATAATCAAAACATCAGCCCCTATATTCAAGTGACTTGTTTCCTTAGGATTCTAATGGAATCCTAAAACATATGACCCCTCTCCCCGTAAGACAGAAGTTGCTGCCTTTGGGATACAAAAACTCTATTATACAATTCCTTTTAGAACAGATTTTTTTTTTTAAAGCAACACTGACATCAAGTGGATTATCTGCTCACACATAGCTACGTCCTACTTCCCAAAATGATGACTTAAAGGAAACATTCTACATACTAGGAATGTCATTCTGAAAAAAAATTAATGTTACTAAATTATCACTGTAAGGTTTCTACTTCTCACCTCCAATGTAACGCTGTTACTCTTTTCTACATTACTATTACCTATATTTCACTGAAACTACTGGACAATTTAAAGTGCAAATACATATAGAATAAATATTTTATATTACAGTCACAAATTTATTCAGCAGTTAGTCATATTCAATTATTCAAGGGATAAATAAATTTATTTTAAAAGATACAAAGATAAAAATTTGTGACTCAAAATATATACTGACTATAACTAACAATAATGTAATGTATACTTCAAAAAGCTAGAAAAGATTTCAAATGTTCTCATCACAAAGGAAAAATGTTTAAGGTGATGGATATGCTAATTACACTGATTTGATTAATGTATTTCAAAATATCGTATTATACCCCATGAAGTATAGTGATGTATCAAGCAAAAATAAATTTTTTAAATTTTTAAAGTCTATGTAAAAATTACATTAAAATATATTTTTAGGAAAGTTATTAAAATAATTTGATATGCCTATATTCTTTATATTCTAGTTTATATAATTTGGGGGTCAAAAACAGATTTTAAAAAGGCTTTTTGATGGTTAATTGTTTTTTTTTTTTTTGACCGGGGATCAAACTCAGGACCTTATGCTCGCGAGGCAGGCGCCGGAACCACTGAGCTAAATGCCCAGCCGATCATTAATTTTTTTAAAAAAATTTAAATATGGGCCAGGGATTTAGCTCAATGGTTCTGCTGCTTGCCTCAAAATCACAAAGACACAAGTTCGATCCCTGGTACCAAAAAAAAAAAAAAAAAATTTAAATACCCTGCAAAATTATGGTTAGGCCAGTTTTAAATCAATGAGAACATTTCAAAATTGATAGATCTTTTGAGAGAAGAAACAAAAACAATAAATAGCAAAACAGGAGAAATGTCATAGACAATTTTCAACTGGAAAAAATATGGCCAGTAAGGATTACAAAATGAACCACAGCACATTATAAATAGTCAAATGGCTCACCACACTGAAAAGCTGAGCATATCTAAAGTTCTCCTGATGGTACAAATGGAGCACTTAAACTTAAAATAAGGCTATTTGTTAAATTCTCTTATGCTTCAGAAGACACTGAAAATCATGCATTCCTGTGACATTTAAGTATAGTGTCTTCATAGGCCAAATCTGTCTTTCTGTACTTTGCTTTAAATTACTTGCCTAAAAAAAAAGGTTTTCTATTTTCATCTGACTATAAATTTTCTCAGATTTCCTTTTACAATACGATTCCACTAGGATTTTCAATATTTACTAGTTTCATTCTCTCTACTATAAAATCAAATTTAATATCTTGACTATATAATCATCAAAAATCACATATCAAATTTTCCTTATCAAAAGCAATCTAGAGTTGTAAGTTTCTATCTAAAACCCCACTAGCTACTAAGTCTTATAAAAAGAACTGATGGGCTCAATTTTTAAAACGAGAATTGCTAATTCTTTCCACATTAATATATAATAACTAAATTTTGAAAGGTTAGCCCTTCAAAAATAAGTTCCTCATAAATTCCATATAAAGATTACATGAAGATACATATTTTCAGGAAAGTCATTAAAATAACACGTCTTTATCTGTTTTATGCTCTACTTCAGTTTATATAATTTCAACTTTTATCAGCATACATAAATTTCACATTAACAAAAGACCAGCAATTGAATTCATCCATAATACCACAACTGGTATCATAAAAGACTTCTGAACAAAGCCTTAATGACCTACATTTAGATCAGTGTTGTTTATAATTAAAAGAAGGCTCATGGATATGGTTTTGACTTTTATTACTTACTGACAATGACCTTCATGGCTTCTGTTTCAAATGGAAATAAATTATTTTATTCGGTACCATTATTCTTTTTCTTCTTTCACATATTATCTTCTTTGAATTTGATTTACTACTTTCCAAAAAGTGAAGGAAAATTGTCTATCCTTTCAACAAAGACATGTAATTGGTTTAAAAAAAAAATTTCACATTACCTTTTACACAAAGTATATTCCTCGCTGCTTGTGATTCCCCTAGGTGGTGGGCGGAAATGCCAACCATTACAAGACCCTAGGGAGTAATCAGGATATAGTCTTATCATTTGAGGCTACCTAGTAATTCTGATATTTTAATGTGTAAGAAATACTATAATCCCTCCACGCACATCATCCCAGATGATGTAAAAAGGACGACATATTTGCCTCTACGCAAAAAGTAATCTACAGATCAATTGAGTTAAATAAGTTAACTATGGAAAATGCAGAAAATCACTGCAGAAGCAGCTACCCAGCAGTTAAGTTAAGTTGGCCCTGGTTCTGTTCTAGCAACTGGTGGGCCTATCCAGTACAATCTCTTCCTAAGAGCTCTGGATGGAGGTGGGCATGCTTGTTATTTCTAAAGCATGGCATGTGTCTCTATCAGGAATTCCTTCAGGAATGGGAAAATGATTGCATCCTGGAAGGAAATCTTATATAACAAATTTCCACCTTTGCATATCATCCACATTCCTTATGATTCCTCTGATACATGTTACAATATGATATAATCCTTTATAATTGAAATAAAGTTCAACCAGTTGAATTCTGAGATAGGAGCTAAAAATCAGCTTCGTTTCCTTCTGAATACAGAGAGCTTTGATTTGTTTAGATGAGGCTCCAAATAAGCGAAGAAAAATAAAGGCTTAAGAGAGAAAGGCTACAGCTATAGAGGCTGAGCATCATGTTGTATTTCCTCACAAGTCATTGTGGCCCACCCCTTGGAAAAAAAGGAGATTCACCCAAGTGGAGTTTAAAAGTATGCTTCATCCCTTACTAGCTGGGTGACTTCATGGAAATTACTAAACCTCAATATACGCTTCATCACTTATCAAGAGATGGAGAAGGACCCTAAGAAGTCAATCAAGGTTTCATGAAAGTCATAACTGTAGTACACAGCTTATGGCAGCCATTCAATGACTCTTTTCCCTTTCCTTTACCAAAACCAGAAAGAACTCAGGTTTACAGATCAAAATTTCCAAAACATAATGAATATAATACCCTGGGGTGGAGGGAGATGCTCCCTTCACACACTGCTAAGAATGATCTTTAAATTTAGTCCTGCATGGAAGCAAGATGTTGGTCTAGGTGACCTTTAGAGTTATTTCCTACTGCTATTACTGTTATTCTATGAAAAGCTGCCAGGGAGAAAATTGCTTTCACCACACCTACTTCTTAAAATTCAATTTTTACATTCTCTCCTACATCTCCACTTACATGTACTATAATTCAGTAAATTTCCTCCCAGTAATCAATAAAAAGAAAAGCCCAGAATTACAGCTATGAGAAGTTAAGAAAATTTGGCACTTACCCTCATCTAAGTCTTCCGCATGATATCCAGTGAGGACATTACTAGTTGCTGTCTGCAATTTTTCAAATGAAAGACATATAAGACAGTAAGAAATAACCAGTTGGTACTGAATTAAATTTGGATATTTCAAAACTTAAAAGGTAAAGTTGGAATACTTAGAAATGTTTCATAACTTTTTTTTTTTTTTAGTTTTCTTGAGACAGGGTCTCACTATGCAATTTAGGCTGGCCTTGAACTCACTATGTAGCCAAAGCTGGCCTCAAACTCACGGCAATCTTCCTGCCTCAGCTTCCCAAATGTGAAATGTTTGATAACTCTAATATGCTGCAAGATATATTTTTGCTCTATTCTATGTTACACTGTATTTTAAATGAAAAAAGAAGCACTTTTCAGGAACTCTTTAAGAAAAGTGATAGGAAAAAAAACCCCAAATCCCCAAAACTGATAGATACTCCTCAAAGTAAAATCAGCCTGGGAGCAGATCAGAAAAGTCTAAGTTTTGAAACCCACAAGGATAGTACCTTTCATCCATTTATTCATTTCACTTTCCTTCATAAAACCTACAGAAAAACCAACTAGAGAAATGCCTTTTCTCCTACAGCCAAGGCATGCTACCACCTTATGGCCAGGAAGCACTTCCTTCCAAGTCCTACTCAATCTGGAGTGAGCCCTTCATCCATAATAGAAGAGGTTACGGAGCGAACCACTCATTCTAACTGTCATGGACAAATACCTACTCGGTGCTTTTGGAACTAACCTTACCCTAAGCCAGTAACGGCAAAGCTTTCAGAGACTGAATGCCCAAACTACAACCCAAAACTCACTTATTTAATCTCAAACCGTCAACATTGCAATTAAACCTGAATACTAAGGTTTCAGTTTAGAAAAAATAAATCCGACATTAACACCTTTTGACTTAAAAGAAAAACAACACACATGCTATAGGTTCACCACCACTGTCCTAAGCGTTCCTCCTCCAATTTCTACCAGGTGCCAACCATAATACTTTTCTTAACTATGCTGCAGCATTTTACATGCTGGATGATTGCCAACTACAGATTTGATGTCAACAATATGCAACTGCCTTTCTCCAATCCCCCTTCAAGACTATCTGGCACACAGTGAGTACTCAGTAAATGATGGATGGATGGATGGATACACAGGTGGATGGATGGATGGATTAGTTAAGCATTTTAAACACAATATGTCCAAAAACAACATTCACTGACCTTGCCCCAAACCCCAACCTCCTCTAGTGCTCTTAATCTCAAGTTAATGGATTATTCTTCCCCAAAGAAAGCAGACTGAAATTGTAAAAGGCATCTTGAACTCTTCCCTCTTCTATCCTGAGTAGTCTCTAAATCTTGCCCAACCAAATCTAAACTGTCTTTCATATCTGTCTCATACTCTCTACACCCCACGCCACTATCCTACTTGTCTCATCTATCCCTGAACCAACTACTCTATGCCATCGTTACCTAGTACCAAGTCACCTGAGTCTTTACTTAGCTGTCCCTTCCTTTAAAATCAGTGCCTACACTCCTATCTCCATGATTCCATTGCAGAGTGTTATCTCCCTGGTTTTATCTCCATGACTGCACTTACTGACCACAGACTACCTGGTGGGCACATTAGCTATATATATCCCGGAATGGCCCACCAAATTGCTTTCCATGCAGATCTCAATTTTCTAGAGCCCTAAACAGTACAAACGTTCAGTAAATTTTAAACTGAATCAGAAAGAAACAATATCCTAAAATGAAATTTGGAAATGTCTTGTACCATAGAAAGGATGTCATAAATGCTAATCAGGTACATCTGAGATAATACCATCATCATTTATATGGGGTTGACTAAATTGGATATTTTAAGTTGGATTGGAACTAAATTACTAAAATGTTGTTTCTACATAAAATTAGCTTCTGATTCTGCATTAAGTCACTTACTAATAAGCTTATAAAAGATAACCCACTTTTTGTAAAATGAGGGATTGAGAATAAGAATATATAAACTAACAAATAAATCAGAAATAATTATTCCTACTACAAACATTCTATGTTTCATAAAAAAGATTCATTAAAACATCTCTTTAAAAAGCCAGGCAGGCCGGGGATTTAGCTCAGTGGTTTCACCACCTGCTACGCTAGTTCAATCCCTGGTACCAAAAAAAATCTTTTTTTTAAAAAAGCCAGGCATGGTGGTACATGGCTGTAATACCAGCACTCTAGGAGGCTGAGGCAGGAGGATCTCAAGTATGTGCCCCACCTGGGCAACTCAGTGAGATCTTGTCTTAAAAAAAAAACATCAATAGCTCAGGATGTAGCTCCATGCAAAGACCCTGGGTTCATTCCCCGGTACCACCCGAAAAAAGGAAAAAAGATCTCTTTAAAGTTTACATGCAAGAGTCCCACAATAACCCTTAAAATATGATTCCATTTTACATAAAACATATCAATATAAAAGCTAAGCATTTACTTCAAGTATGAAAATTTTAAAATTACTAAAATACTATTTACTAAAATACATTTACTAAATATACAAGAAAAAAATGGAAATGAAATGCCTTGGCCATAAAATATAACCTAAAACATTTGTAACTGCTAAAACACTAAAATATTGTGTGCACTGTGCACTTTCAACACAGTATATCCAAAACAACATTCACTGACCCTGCCCAAAGCTGTTCACAAATCAGCATCTGAGACCTTCCACACATCAGTCTGTTGTGATGCCACAAGTCTTTTACTGCACATGGAGAGGGGGCACATTATCAGGAGAGCTGATAAGAGAGCTCAGCCTGGCTGACTATGGGCCATCCTGGGGTGCTGTGTTTGAGTTTTGTTGTTGGTATTGTTTGTTTAGGGTTTTGTTGTTGTTTTTGCAGTAATGAGGACTGAACACAGGGCCCTGAGTATGCTAGGCCTGCATTCTACACCTTCACTACATTCCCAGTCTTTTTCTAATTTTTATTTTATTTTGAGACAGGGTCTCACTAAATTGCCCAGGTTAGCCTTGAACTTGAATACTCTGCATCAACCTCCCAAGTAGCAGGGATTACCACCACACCCAGCTTCACATTTACTTTTTAAACACTCTCTCTGTGTGCTCAAACCCCAGGACAGAAGGACATTGGTTGGTTATGCTCTTCAGTCATTACTAACACCTTCAGGGAAAACAGTCAATTACACTGCTAGAACTCAGTCAATTACACTGCTAGAAATTAAAAATCAAATCTATGATTAGACATTTCTAATTTTACCAAAGAATATTTACTGTTTTGTTTTTATGAATCAGCCTTTCGTTCCAAGTCTTTATCCTCATTAACTAGCATTTCTAAGTTAAATACCAACTCAGCCCAATCTTTAAATAATAAATTGCTATTTTTAAAGTGTCATGTGCAATAATTAAACAAAGGTAGCATTATTGTTTAGCTTTTTCTAGATGGACCTTTCTTTCTGGCAGTGCTGAAGATCGAACCCAGGTCTTCACACATACTAGGGTAAGCACTCTACCACTGATCTATATCCCCAGCCTGGATATAGAACAGTATTCTAACCAAAAAGAATAGTATTCTGCTTACATAGACATTTACACTACTCAGCTTACACAGAAATTACAAACAAAACTTAAGTCATTTCTTCTAATGATATAATCACAAAATAAGTGAGAGTTGTGTCCTTATATGTTACAAGACTATAAACATTTTTAAATTTTGTATATTTGCCTATTATTATCAGATGTAAAGCTGGTAATTCAGTTGAGGCAATAAAAGAAAAGTAAATCAAAAAATCTTGATAAAAATGAAAGGTTATTTATGTCCTCAAACTCTCAAACAATTATCTTGTTACTTCTTGGAAATTAAAAAGGCTACACATACACAATAAAGGAGATGGCTGAGACTTAATGACAACTTACTAATACTAGTTAATTCATATTAAAGTAATATAAGACAAAGAAAATGACTCTTTGGGCCGGGGATTTAGCTCAGTGGTTCTGCCGCCTGCCTTGCAAGCACAAGATCCCAAGTTCGATCCCTGGAACCAAAAAAGGAAAAAAGACTTTTTATAAAGGCCTAATATCAGCCTTTAGTTTCTTTATCCAGGATCTGTAATCCATAACTGTCTTCTCTGCTGACTGCTGGCATGAGCTGGGGTATGCTACTAGATGTGAAATGAGATTGCGGCCCATAGGGGATCAATGGGGGTGCTCAGGTCTCTTCATAACCCTTTCCAGGACTGCAGCACTGTCCCTCACACTCCCTAAAAGACCAGGACCTATTCAACTCTCAGCTCTTAGCTAATTGTTCTGGATCCTGGCTACCTGATCCAGTGATTTTTTCCAGCACGAAAGCTTATTCTTTTTCCTTAATATGAACTGTACCTAGAGCTGTTTAATTAATTTACTTGTCTGTCTCCTCCTGGGCCTCTACCCTTTCAGCTGACAAAAACCACTGGTGCTCGTTCTGCTCAGTGCTGTCTCCAGTACCATGCACAATGCCAGCACACAGGTAACTAGGTCTTGAAAAAAATATACCAAATCAGTCACTGTATGTGGACTGCCATTTAAAAGCTGACAAAACGGCTATTTTTAAAATAGGACATCTAAATAAAAGTATTTATATGCCTATATGAGGAATACATATAACTTTGAAATTATAAAGCTATCCACCTGTTCTAGGACACTTTTGCCCCTTACCATCCACGTGTCCAAGTCCTGCACTGGAGCACCACTTACCTTTACCTTTACTAGAGCATACATCATTTCCATCTCTTAAATCCACTCTCCAAAAATGATCCCTTTTTTTTTGAGACACAGTCCCGCTATGTAGTTCAGGATGTCCTTGAACTCCCAGTGATCCTCGCAGCGGCCTCCTAAGTACCGCAATTACAGAAGTGTACCACCATGCTTGACTAAAAATAATCCATTAAGTCACAGACTTCCTTTTGTTTAAAAAGACAGAAGGCTGATACCCGGTACCAAAAAAAAGACAGAAGGCTTGAGAAATAATTTTATGCTTGTTTGGGTTTTTTAGTATTGCATTTTTAATGATAGAATTTTCTACCAGCCAAAGTAGTTAAAAACTAAACTTTCCCAATCATCATTTCCATTGTGGGGCCAGAGACAACTAATAAAAATAAGTAACAAAACAGAAGACCTGGGATGCTGGTGAGAATAGGAGAAGCAACATCCCAAGGATGGGACCAAACTAGGTTCCAGGGAAGATGGGTCCATCCCACTATCGCCCCATGCAACCCGGCCTTCTGGCTGATGCCACAGTGACTTTGCACTTTTTAACACAGAATGCTCACCAACCAAACTGAGTTAGACTTTGCCAAGGAGAGCCCTGATATAGACTTACCTCTGTTTCTGTGAGAAGTGTTTTTAGTCTTGTCAAATCTTTTGTTACCATTCCATTCTGAAAGGGCACAATAGAGAAAAATCAATATGACATTTAGCTCAATTCCTTGGTTGTTTCTAAAGTTTAACTGTAAAAAAAACAATTGTTACCTCTCCCTCATCCCCAGTACCATCAATGCTGGTAATACAGCTACATATCTATGGGGAAACTTTAAAAGGTTAAGAGGGAAAAACTATTTGGTATACCTTTTCTGGCACTGTGTTCACCTCATGTAAAAATTTAAAGTTCATGAAATAAAATATAAAAATTATCACTAGAGCAAAATATAAGCGAAGAGGAAAAAGCAAACCTACAGCTTATTTCACCCATTTTCCCTAGGACTAATGGGCTTATACATACAAAATGTTGAACTCAAAAGTTATCCATAACTTAAGAGAGATTTATGTAAAATGATCATACCACTTTAAAGACAGCTTATTAATAGTTATTGAGAGAAATACTCACTTTTCTGCAACTCAAATTTCACCTGAGATCTACGAGCAAATTATTCTTTACTACATTTTTGTTTTCTGTTGTACTAGAGGATTGAACTCAGGGGCTTGGCTCCTTTTACTAGCTTTAAATATGAACACCCAACAGGTAAAACTGTAAATCTTTAACTTATATATAAAAGCCTTTTAAGGACAACATTATCTTAATTATAAAGAAGAAGTAAGTTGGGTGTGGCACATGCTTGTAAGTCCAGCTTCTCTGAAGGCTGCAGCAGTAAGGTCACAAGTTCAAGGTCAGCCTGGGTAAATTAGTGACTCTCTTGCAAAACAAAATTAAAAGGACTGGGGATGTAGCTCAGCACTCCCTCCCTGGGTTCAATGTCCAAAATCATCACCACCACAAAAAAAAAAAGAGGGTATCTAAGGAGAAGGAAGAGGACGAAGAAGAGGAAGAGGAGTAGAGATATTCTTTGCCACCTACTTAGAACTAAACAGCTATATAAATTTGCTATATCCACATCTGTGCACCCGATGAAATTAAGACACATTACCAAGCTAAAAGAAATATTATATAATAATGCCTTAGAAAATGTCTAAATTACCCTGAGATGAGTCAATATATTACATTCAACAATATACCAATACTTTCCTAATCTCTATTTTTTTACCAAATACATTTCTTTACAATGAAAATTCAACCATGCTGTAGACTTTCACAATCCATATTAATTCAAAAGAATAAGGTTCAGAGAATTCACAATGTAGCAAAGCATACATATACTTTATTGTTTTCACTGTTTTTCATTATGATTCCTGAAAAATAATAACAAATCTTCTAGGAGTTAAAAACTGTTGAAAAGAATTACGGCTCTTTTCTTCCAATTTCTATAGATTATCAACTCTAAAGTCCCAAAAACATCTTGCAATTATCCAAAAATGAATCTAGAAAATTAAATGTTATATTAAGAAATTATCCTAAAGTTCATATTCCATTGGAGTGGTTTATAGTTATTAACTTATATGTATACCATCATCCGAAATAGAATTATTCCTTAGTTTAGACAGACTTAAGACAGTCTATGAATAGCTGAATTTAAGCACCCTATAAGAAGGCTATGTCCAACATGAGCATTTAAAGCCCAAAAATATTTTAAGGCTCTCTTAAATTCTTTTTGTTTGGTTGGTTTTTTGTTGTTGTTGTTGTTGTTAAATTCTATGTTTAAAGAAAATCATCTAGTTACCCTATACTTTCAAATTTTTTAAGCATTTACAACTTTTACATACATTATTGCAAACCACAAGAATCCAAAGATTAAACATCAGCTTTTTCAAAAGAAATGAACATCTCAAGATTCTCATGAACTCTGATTTCAGATAGGAAGAACTAAAAGGGAAAATGCACACTATTTTTTTCTATAATCTATTTTGGAAGCTGAATGTGAATCTGTTTTCATATATTCAAAAATTGAGCTTGTCAACATACCAGGGACTCTCCTGTCAGAGACTTGGCAAGGATTGTGGATACAGGTTGGAGCTTTCCCTTCAGCTGCATGCAGCAAAGCATGGCCCGAAAGGGACCCTCACCCCTGGCCAGTCCTTCTCCCAGCACTGCCATGAAAGAACAGCCATCATTAACCAGCTGGCATTCAATATGCATCCTTCTTGATTACAACAGTAACACATCATCACAAGCAGTTTCTCATGTGCTAGAACAACTTCAAACACAAAAGGAAAGCAGTAGCATTTCAGTTAGTTCCGTCCGAGACACACATATAAAGAAAGGAAAAAAACGTGAAAATGAGTATATCAAACCTACAACATACAGCTAGTTAGGATTATATCAACATCACAGTCAGAACTAATCTTAAAGCTCTCCACTGTGCAGCTGGATAGAAGAAAGAACCCATATTCTATAGCACCATGGAGTAACTTAGGTCAACAATAATTAATTGTATATTTTTAAATAGCTAGTAGAGATTTTAAGTGTTCCCAACACAAAGAAATGATGTGTTTGGGGTGATAAACATGCCAATTACCCTGATCATGATTACACATTGTATACATGTCTTGAAATATATTATGCCTCATAAATATATTCAATTTTTATGTGCCAACCAAAAAGAAAAACTCTCAGTGGTTAATTTTTTTAAAGGCTCTAGCAAAAAAAAAAAAAAAAATTAAAAAGGCTCTAGCCTTGGGGTGATGTGCACCTGCCATCCTAGCTATTCAGCAGATTGAACCAGGAGGATAACTTGAGTCTGCAAGTCTGAAACAAGCCTGGGCAACACAGTGAGACCCTATGTGGGAAAATATGGTGCCTTCAGTGAAAAACAGTTTAACCTATGATTTCTGGCTACCTAAGGGCTTTTAAAATTGTAGATTTATTAGCTAAATAAAATTCTCACACTTTTGACAGTGATGTAAAACCCTTTGCTATTAAAATGCATAAAAACTAAATTGACAAATCTCACCATAGATTTCCCTAAGCAACTAAAAATCAGCCTTTCTCAAAACCAGCATAATTAATTAAGAATCCAATTATCCAATGACCACAAAAAAATACTACCCAAATTGCTGGCAAGTCTTTGTAGATTTACTCTAATACAATCACAAGGATCATATATATTTAACAACATAAGATATATTCATTTTTATGCCAGGTCATTTGAGACTATTTCTCATGGTGATTGCCAATGGTTCAATTAATAAAGCAATCCATATCCTTCTTTTTATTGATAAGTCCAGGATTCTATTCTTAGTTTACACATAAGTTACCTCCTTTTGCAAGAAAATAGTATTTTGGAAATTGTACCTTTAAAAAATTATTTCCAAAGTAGTGTACTTTTAAAATATAATGCTAGGGACCGAGGATTTAGCTAAGTGGTTCCGCCGCCTGCTTTGCAAGCGCAAGGCCCCAAATTCGATCCCCAATACCAAAAAAATTCAAAAATAAAAAAAAATATATATATATATAATGCTATACTGCACATAAAGTCCACTGGGATCTGTTCATAACATTTTGGTTATAGTGCATATACTCTCTTTCATCACATATAATATTATAACCCTAATAAAATCCTAGATAAAATTTCACCATAATTAATCTAGGCATGGTGTTGCAATTCTATAATCCTAGCAGTCAGGAGCCTCAGTAGGAGGATCACCATGAATTTGAGGCCGACCTGGGTTCCATAATGAATTCAAGACTACCCTGAACTACACAATGAGACCTGGTCTCAAAAAAAATAAAACAACAAAAAACCCACCATAATCTCACCACTCAACTATATAGTTTTCACTTATTATTCATATTCCCCTTCTACTTCTATCAATATTTACATAATCAAAAATGAAAATAAATTCCCAGTCATTTAATTTTTTTTTTGCCGTCATTTAATTTTTGACAATAAATTAATTTGCCTAACACAGATACATACATACATTTGAGGAGGGGGCAAAACTACATAAGCAGACTCCAAAAGGTGGCAGGCTTAAATCAAGTTTTTAACTAGAGGTTAAAATGACCATTTGTTCTAGTAAAACAGCTGGGTGTGGTGGCATACATCTGTAATCCCAGCACTCAACCGGCTGAGGCCAGTTTGAGGCCAACCTGGGCTATGTAATGAATTCAAGTCCAGACTAAACTATATAGAGACCCTGCCTCAACACCCCCCACACACACACACAAAAGTATAACATAAACCAAAGAACACAGTGGCAAATATCTCACATAGTGTCCCTGTTTCCAATTTTTTTGTTACACAACTCTCCTCAACCTCAACCTTCTCCTTCTTTCCCCTCTCCTTTCTGCTAACTGTAATAAATAAAATATATCTGGACATGTGGGTTGCAGCTTTTGTGGCATTTCATGTCCTTCCTACCAAGGTCTTTTATAGATAAAATGTTTCCTTTATAAAATACATAAGGAAAATAAAAAGCCCTAACACTATTCAAAATTAGGTATTACCCATCTGTCTTAGACCTCTTCCAGTATTTCCACTCCAGCTTCCACTACTATAATACAATTTTTTAAAATCCCTGCAAGTGTTTTTCTTTCAATATTTGGTCACAAAAATAATCTCTCGTATAGTACTGATGAGTATGTAATGAACTTTAATTTTAAAATCTTACTGTTCATTTTCACCTGCATTTTCCTGAGAAAAGACTTCTGAATGCCTTCCTTCTGGATGCTTTCATTCTATAAAAAAACAAGTCATTTCTCCTAATTTAATTTTAGGGTTTAGTTTAAATGTTAGTGCTAATTCTTTTGGTAGCCCTCAAACTCCTTGTTATACACAAATATAAAATAACACAGTAAAAAGCTGACAAAAGTAAACATAGGAACAGACCTAAAACTTGCTTCCCCAGAACATCATAAAAGTTTCTACTTCATCTATATACTTGAATAAACTTTTTTACTTAAGGCACTATTAAAGTGATATTTGCAAGCCGGATGTGACGGATACCGAGTTCAAGCCCAGCCTGGAACAACTTACCAACTTAGCAAGACTGTCTCAAAATAAAAAAAAATTTTTAAAGGCCGAGAATTTGCTGCTTAGAGTGCATTCAACTTCTTCTTTGTAAGAACCCTAACTTCAGAGATGCATTATAACAAAGTTAACCTCTGGTTAACTATTTGAAAAGTGATTTAAGACACTTTTCGTATAGGAAGAAAATCTGTTTAACAATATTTTTCTATCTTAAAACTCCTCTGTTGCCTTCTCAATTTCAAAAGTCAACATCTTATCTTCTCTGTTGTTAAGTCCACAAGGGTAATCCTGACTGTGGAAAAAGCAAGACTTTTTCAAATCTGTTCAAGCACTCCCTTACTTCATTGTTTCCATGGTTAATTTGCACTTTTTTTCCTCCTAATTTGCTTACTAAGAAAACCACAGATATTTTGTGACTCTATTTTCCTTTCCTTATGGGAGAGAGCGCTGTATTCAAATAATCTTTAATTCTAGTTCCTCCTTTAAAGAAATATTTACTGAGATTTTATAACACAAGGTATCATTTAATTTAAATCTTTTTATGTATAAATGTAATTTCAGTTAATATAAGATTAACACTAACATATATTCCAGGAGTCAAAAATAGCATGAAATATACATATATAAAAAAATCACTCATGGGGCCAGGGATTTAGCTCAGTGGTTTTGCCACCTGTTGTGCAAGCACAAGGACCAGAGTTTGATTCCCGGTACCAAAAAAAAAAAAAAAAAAAAAAATCACTCATGACTGTAGATGTATGACTAGAAAATGGCTAGAGCAGATACTCAGTCACACAAGCATGATGAGACTCTTGCAAATGAATTGCCAAAGACTATTCCTTAAACATCTATTCATATTAAAAAAGTTTACATAAAAGGTAACAGCCCTCAAACTTAAATATTAAACTTTTACTTCTCTAATTTAGTCTGCCCCCAAATTAGAATTTTATAATTTAAATGTCTATTCCTATCAATTTAAATATAAGATCTTTATTTAAAACAATTAATAGAAATTATGGAGAAAATAAAAGTGAAAATCAACATCCCATTCTTACTGGAGAACAAAACTTGTGAACTACTGATATATACACCAATGTGGATGGATCTCAAAGGGCATTATGGTGAGCCATCTCAAAACTCACATACTATGTGACTGCATTTTTATAACAATCACAAAATGATAAAATGATAGAGATGAAGAGCACATCAGTGGTTGCCAAGTATTGGGATTGGTGGGGAGAGTAGTGGGTGTGTATACAAAAAGAGAAAAATCTTCATGGTGATGGAACAGTTCTTGAACCTTGATTGGCTACATGATCCACACATGGTAAAACACAATAACATATTTATTGCACTAATGTTAATTTCCTGATTTTGATACTATTTTATAGTCATACAAAATGTTAACCATTGTCAAGTGTGGTGGTGCACATCTACAATCCCAGTACTCAGGGAGGCTGAGATAGGAGTTGGACCACAAGCTCAAGCCCAGCCTGGTCAATTTAGTGATTCAGCAAGACCCTGTCTCAAAATAAAAAATATAAAAAGGGTACAAAGGCCCTGTGTTCAATTTTCAGCCTAAAAAAAAGATTAACCCTTGTGGAAAAGTAAGTGACTTATACATGGGTCCCTTCTATACTGTCTGCAACTTCTTATCAATCTACTTTTTCAAATAAATTTAAATTTTCTGTTGGAAAGATAAAGGTTGTATACAGAAAAAATTTTTAAAAAGTGAAAATACTTGGATCTAAGGGATAATGAACTACAAAATGTAATCGGCCTGGGCCAGGGATTTAGCTCAGTGGTTTCGCCACCTGCTGTGCAAGCGGCAAGGACCTGAGTTTGATCCCCAATAACAAAAAAAAAAAAAAAAAGAAAATGACATCAAAATGTAATTGGCTTGAATCTTTATTTTAAAAGCAGGTAAGGAGACAAAACACTAGAAGGAGTAGGTCTCTGAAGATCCCAATTCTTTTTTTTTTTTTTTTTGGTACCAGGGATCGAACTTGGGTCCCTGCACTTGCAGGGCAGGTGGCGGAACCACTGAGTTAAATCCCCGGCCCTAAAGGCCCCAATTCTTATCTCCACTCCATTAATAACTGATTCTGAGCCTCAACT